AGTGCCTTGCTATGTTTATCTTTCCCCCTGTTGGAAGAAAATATGGTGTATTTTACTATGGCATCTCAGTATTGCTGAAATTGTATAATCAGTAGGACAGCATGTTTAATGAAAGGGTTTAACCTTTTCTTGACATGGGAAGGACTTCCTGCAGTTTAAGGTTTTTCATTGGAAATAAAATGTGAATTAGTTTTTAATGTGACTGATACATATTTAGTTAGACAGTTTCACCTTCAAATACCTGTTCATGAATCTAATTGGCAATGAACATAAATCTGTATTTTATTTTTAATTCTTTATTTTCAATAATAGCTAATAATAAAACAATTAAAAATAAGCACCTAAAATATGAACAAAAATTAAAAGAATTGAGGAAATAAAAAACAATTAAGACGATGGTCCAGATATTGACCAAATCATAGTTTAACTGTGTAAAAGGAGATTGATGAATAACTCTCCTTAATTGTATTCCATCTACTGTTGGTTGCTCTCCACAAAATTTGAACATGGGCACAATTCTCAACTAGGATCCCAAATAGCCAGGCCCCTAGAACAGATAACATTTCCTTCACTTCCAAACTTAAAATAATGACGGTGACAAAATTATATTCATTCAACATATGGCAGTATTGGTAGCATTAGATTGAAAGTAAAAACAAAACACCCCAAATCAACAGAAAGCAGAATTTCATGCAAGAGATGATTATTTTTAGAGACATCAAGAACTCTTCCCAAGTAGCCCTGCATTATGATGTGGAATAAGTCACACCAGCTTAGCATGGGTGAAGATTGCTGTATATTTATCTATACCTGTTTTTCTGTAAACCTGGATTCATGCTTAGAGTTCTTTTGTATGTCACTAAGATGTAAAGAGCTAAATGTGGGAGAATAAGTCAAACCAGAATTCAGACAAGGTACAAGTGTTTCCAGGGGTGGGTTCCTCCTGGATCGCCCCGGTTTGCGCGAACCGGATGGTCGGTGAACCTGGAAGTAATTAACTTCCGGGAACGCCGGTACCGCTCTGGCCCCTGTCGCTGGGTGCCTGCAGGGTTTTTCTTTTTAAAAAACGCCTCTCCGGATGATCTTGAAAACTTGCAAGGTTGCTTTGGAAGGGGACAGATGGGCAGCATTTCCCCCTCCCTGGGTGCCTGCAGGGTTTTTCTTTTTAAAAAACGCCTCTCCGGATGATCTTGAAAACTTGCAAGGTTGCTTTGGAAGGGGACAGATGGGCAGCATTTCCCCCTCCCTGGGTGCCTGCAGGGTTTTTCTTTTTAAAAAACGCCTCTCCGGATGATCTTGAAAACTTGCA